GGACGAAGCTCGTGCGGGGCCTGTAGCACGTGATGTTATAAAGGGGCCCGAACTTAAAAAAAAGACGTACAAATTAAAACACACGAAATTTTCACTTGCATAGTAAAGTTATTTTATTTTTTCTTTTGCTATACAGCCGGATAATAAGACAAATCGCTAACCTTCAATACCCAGTCGTTCACAAAAGTTGAAGGCGGTATAGTACTATAGTAATAGAGCAAGTGCAGAATAACTGAACCGGGAATTGATAACTTGAAAGCATTTAGCGCGGCGCCCTTGAAAGTGCAGGGCCCATAGCTACTACACGTGTAGCTGTACTACTGTAGTATAGTAAAGTAGCTACTACACGTGTAGCTGTACTACTGTAGTATAGTAAAGTAGCTACTACACGTGTAGTAGCTACTTTTGCTACTGGGATCATCCAGCACTGGTGGTGGTGGGAGGGGGGGGGATAATTGGGGGGTTCGCGTCTTCGCCCCGCGTTAAGAGGATGGGGGGGGGGGGGTCAAGGAGAGCGCGTACGACTGTCTCGGCGTCGCCGGGCTGACCCCCCCCCCTCCGCGCCCCCCCCTCCACCCCCCACCTCCGCGTCCCCCTCCCCCCGCCGCCCTCCCCGCCGCGTTGCAACATTCGCCCGGGACGTGACTGTCGGCCGGGGCATTGTCTCTGTGCCGCTAATGGTTCGTTTGTTCGTCCTCCTTGAGACCGGTCGCACAATGTCGGGGTTTGTCTTCCCGATCCCCCCCACCCCACCCCCCTACCCACCCCCCCTACCCCCCCACCCCCTACCCCCCCCACTCACCCACCCCCCTACCCCCCCACCCCCCACCCACCCACGGAGCTCCGATTGTGGTGAAGGATTCACGGCAGGCCTGGGACCTGGGCAGAGCCAACTCACCCCTTGCCGCCACCACCACCAGCACCACCAACAGCACCAGCACCACCACTACCAGCACCAGCACCACCAACAGCACCACCACTACCAGCACCACCACCAGCACCACCACGAGCACCACCAACAGCACCAGCACCACCACCAGCACCACCACTACCAGCACCACCGTCAGCACCACCAGCACCACCACCACCAGCACCACCACCAGCACCACCAGCACCACCACTAGCACCACCACCACTAGCACCACCACCACCACACTCCCTCGGCAGAATTCCCCCGACGCGACACCTCCCGCCTGCCGCTCCCACCGGTCACGGCCGAACGTGAAGGGTAACGAAACGCGACGAACGCCGTTGGCTTTCCGTCCGTCCCGCACGTTAATAATGAATGTGCGATACGCGCGTTCATTTAGTTTGTTTGTACTTCCATCGTGCCAACTCGTCATCCCGATGGCGCGCCGGACGTTTGGGCGGCAGCGTTGGCATGATCGTGCAGTTCTGCGCGTGTGGGAACAACAAGAGCTTCACGGCTCATCGGGTTCCACAAGTATAAATATTCTGATTCCCAGTACTGAAAACGTTCTAAATGTTGTTATCCGGGTGAGAGGTCGAGAAATGGGGAGATGAGTCGTCCCTTTGCAAGTGGAGTCGCCTGCATCGCCAGGAGTTATGAAAGCGTTACCGTGACGCGGAGGCAAGGTAGAACAGCGAAGGAAATAAAAAAAATCAGAGAAACAAGATAGTAAAAAAAATCGTTCATGGTAAAAAAAATTGTAGTTTTAGAGACGTGAATGTTGATTTAGTTTTGGGGTGGTGTGGGGGAGATGACCGAACTGGCGTTGAAGCAGACAAGGAGCACGTCACGCTGCGGCTGCGGCTGCAAAGGGAAGTCGCAGCCGCTGACAGCACCAGAGAGTGATAGCACGTAGGAGAGCCACAGCACGTGGGGGAGCCACATCACGTGGGAGAGCCACAGCACGTGGGAGCCACAGCACGTGGGAGAGCCACATCACGTGGGGTAGCCACATCACGTGGGAGAACCACAGCACGTGGGGGAGCCACAGCACGTAGGAGAGCCACAGCATGTGGGAGAGCCACATCACGTGGGAGAGCCACATCACGTGGGAGCCACATCACGTGGGAGAGCCACAGCACGTGGGAGAGCCACATCACGTGGGAGAGCCACATCACGTGGGGGAGCCACAGCACGTGGGGGAGCCACAGCACGTGGGGGAGCCACAGCACGTGGGAGAGCCACAGCACGTGGGAGAGCCACATCACGTGGGGGAGCCACATCACGTGGGGGAGCCACATCACGTGGGGGAGCCACATCACGTGGGGGAGCCACAGCACGTGGGGGAGCCACAGCACGTGGGGGAGCCACAGCACGTGGGGGAGCCACAGCACGTGGGGGAGTGTAAACGACGCAGCTGTACAGGTGGTGTGGGCATCCCTTGGGCTTCCGCAGGGGGTCAGTTCTGCATGGGTAGGGTGAGCGAGATGGGGGGGGGGTAAAGGAGGGGGGTGTGTGAAGGAGGAGGGAGTGGTGGTGAAGGAGGAGGGAGTGGTGGTGAAGGAGGTGGGAGTGGTGGTGAAGGAGGGGGGAGTGGTGGTGAAGGAGGGGGTTGTGGTGGTGAAGGTGAGATGGGGGAGGAGGGGGTTATTAAGAAACTTTGCCGCGCCGTTTTAAAACCCCTGGAGACTGGACGTCTTGTCTGCAAGGTGTCTGCAAGGTGTCTGCAAGATGTCAACTGATGCGTAGCGACCACGCGGTGACACCGTGCACACACAACAAAGCCAAAGATCCCCCGTGTAGCCTTAACAGACTTTTGAGGCAAGTGCTATTAAGCGAGCACCTATGAATGCCGGAACGGCACACGATGGGATGGGTGGCCAGCACCACGCCTGACCGCCTTTGTCTCCCCAGTCGCGATGTTTACGCACCGCACCAGGCGCTCATTTGAGGCTGAGTAGACCTAGAGGATGCCCAGGACCGGTTCAGGTAATTGTCACTGCTGTTGGCCGTGAGCGGGAATTGATCTCGGGTGGCTGGGTTCGTAACGCAGCGTAGCGCTAACCGCTGCACCACCGCTCCCCACAGGCACACATACACACACGGCGACCAGGTAACGACAGTTGTACACACACACACAACTTGTATATTCAAATGCAGACACGTATGCACTGACACATACCCCTCCACACGCACAGCGGACGTGTAATGACACGCGTACACACACTGTTGTGAGTTCGTACTGCACAATCACAATGAACACGCTGCAGTCGATCATCGATTATCCAGCTGCTTCCAATATTATCCGGCGGTCCCGGAGCCGATTCGGTGAAACCGGCAAACCCACTCTGAAGGCTGTATCGGTCGCGTGGTTGCGCGCTTGACAAAAAACGTGTCCTATCTTTGATTTCAGTGTCAAATAAATACGGCACATTATACACTGCACAATTTCATGACTAATAACTGCAGTAATACAAAATAACTGAAAATAAACACGGTGCGATACGGCGAAAAGTTGCGTCGTGATTCGGCGTTCGCCGGAGCCACGCGGTCTGAAGGTTTCACCACCGGTCGGGCGATGTCCCAACACAAGCACGCTTGTTGGGACAAGAGAGCAAAGTCGTGTTCCGTACGGCACCACGTGACGCAGAGTCTTCCAGATTGGAGTGGCTATCCGACGTTTTTGAAAAATCCGCCGCACCCTCCCGCCCCCAATAATATAAATGATGATAATAATAATAGGGTTTTCCCCCTTTTTTCTGCAACAAAACTGAAACCTTTTTTCAAGGATTCATGTTTGCATTAACCACAATACATGCAGTCAAAATGCAAACTTCATCTGGTGCTCGACCAGATGACGCCAAATGACGCCAAAAGGCGTCATCCGGTCGAGCACCAATTGGGTCGAGGCTCAAAAGAAAGCCGTCCCTTGGTGTGGACCAATCAGTTTCAAGGACAATGCCACATATATTATCATAGTATGTTTTTTGTTTGCATTTTGACTGCAGGTATTGTGGTTCATACAGACATGAATCCTTGTAAAAAGGTTTCAGTTTTGTTTTCAGAAAAAAGGGGGGAAACCCTATTATTACATTTTGGTACTGGCAAAGGAGGTCTAATGATGGTAATTGATTATCTACTGTAATTATATTATATATTATAATTATACACAACATATTATATATACAAATATATTACAGAAAATTGTATATAACTATAATCATTATAGAACAAATATGCTATTTAAATAATGATTTCGTGCTTATCCGGCGTTTTTGAGTTATAATTATACATAATGATATATAATTGTATATATCTGGTGATGTTGCTGCTTCTGCGTTGGAAGCACTGCACAAGCAACCACGCAACTCTCACGTTCCGTATCAACAACACACTGTGGCCTTTAGAGGCGTGGACTCTATTAACGATTAAATATTTTTATGTTACCAGGTGTAGGCCCCCCTGGTCTGTAGCGCTCTTTTTGAGAAGCGGCCTGGCTGTCACAAATGATAGCTCTATTAAGTGGATTATCACGTGGAAACGTATACCGGCCAAACACTCTAAACGCACGTGAATTCTAAATGTGGAGGGGAAAACCGGAGGACCCGGAGATTCATCCACACGACCACGGGGAGAGAGAGAGAGAGACGCAAACTCCAAATTTACAGCAGCAGGCGTCAGCGTCGGGATCGAAGCTACGAACTCCTGCACACCACCGTGGCCTCTCTGTGTGCTGTGAAGGAGGCCGTTACACGCACGTCACGCTGCCTTCTCTGCTGAAGGCCATCGGGCGTGAGCGACGAATGTGTCGAGTTGTTCGTGTCCGGTGATGATGCCGCTCGGGGAGTTGTTGGTTCCGGGTCGCGTATCCGGCGGAGCAACTTTGCACCTCCCCGTGGCTGAGCGACCGCGGGCAGGAGTGGGAAGGCGGCAGCTGACGGCAATTGCCCAAGCTCTGTAGTCCTCTGTGTCTTGAGCTATTGTTGTCAGTCAATAACTAAAGCATTGATGAGTGGCAGCGCGCCTGTGGTGCGGGTGCCGTACTCGTAACGAGTCTCAATGTGCTCTGTGTGCGCTTGCTTTGTTCCAGACCGGAAACGCCTCCAACCTCACCGGCACTCGCCATCAACGGCAAGGTACGAGCAGCCAGCCTCACCCAGCCTCACCCAGCCTCACCCACCATCACCTCACCCTGCCATCACCTCACCCAGCCATCACCCACCATCACCTCACCCACCATCACCTCACCCACCATCACCTCACCCTGCCATCACCTCACCCTGCCATCACCTCACCCTGCCATCACCTCACCCAGCCTCACCCTGCCTCACCCAGCCTCACCCAGCCTCACCCACCATCACCTCACCCAGCCATCACTCAGTATCACCCAGCCTCACCTCACCCAGGCTCACCCTGCCATCACCCAGCCTCACCCAGCCTCACCCAGCCTCACCTCAACACTGGTTTCACGTGAAGCAATATAATACATGCAGAGTCAGACTTGCTTAAACCAGTATTTGTTTAAGCAAGCCTGACTCTGCTGATGAGATATTGAATGTCAAGTTTGTATCAAACTGTTGCTGAGTTCAAGAAAACTCCCAGAAGGCCATATGGCCGATGTAGGATGTGTAAAAAGACGATTTTTTTTTTATGCATTTAATTTTTTTTAAAGTAAAAGATTTGTGAAGAAGACCGATTCGTCTGCCTATTTGTTCTGGTGCTTATATGTCCTCCACAACGACGCCAGCGGTTATTTTCGTGTTCGTGAAAGTCGGTCATGAATGGCTGCCCCCACCTCGCTCGCGTCTTGTTTTATGGAGATTTTGGGGGCGAAAAGCGACAAACGTGCCGAGCGCTGCCCCCCTCGAATGCTTGGGCAGGGGGCGGGGGGCTTGAGGGGGGAGCGGAGGAGTTCTCTGGATCGCTGCCGTATAGAAAACACAAAAAACAAAAACAGGCCGTTGAGCAAAAACTTCCCGCGAGACTCGGCCATGGCTTTCCTGGCCAAAACAATCGCGCGGCTGCTCGCCGCTCAGCGCGCCGATATCCACAACGCTGACCGCTCAGAATGTGCGTTAACCCTTCGTGGTGCGAATGTAAATGCTCTTTTCTCTTTTGTAAACAAAACGAACAGCCCCGACGCCTACCTCCACTAAGCCCGCTGTGACCACGTGACCTTCCATGACCTTTCATGACCTCGCCACTGCCTTCTTCGTCGCCGTCTCTGCCATCGGTGCTTCACATCGCGCCGTTTCCTCGTGGCTCGGTGCCAGCCCCGCCCCCCCTCGCCCCCCCCCCCCCCCCCCCCCCGCCCCCCCTCGCCCCCCCCCCGCCCCCCCCCTCGCCCCCCCCCCCGCCCCCCCTCTCCCCGTGCCACCACGGGAGCGCCTTCCCGCTCGTAGGCGGGGAGGGCAGCACCCGCGGTGGTCGTAGGCGCGCGTCATCGTGAGCGAGCGCTCACTCGCTGCACGGAGGCCGTCTGCGTGCCGGCGAGGACGCGGCAAGCGACACGCGCACGAGGGGGTGGGGGGAGGGGCGCCTTCCTCTGGGGAGCCATTCTCGGGCGTTCGCGACACCCGAAATAGCCGGCGAGCACGTACCAGAATCGCGGAACAATTGCACTCGTGAAAAATATCCAACAAATGGGGAACTGTGCGATGCAATTTACTCTGCCCAGTGTCGAAACCGGTCAAAGAGTTGGCTCGTGTTGGAACGGACGCCATTGAAATGCTGCGCTCCCAGAAGAACGTGCGGCTGATGGGATGCGTGTAAAGAAAACTACAAATATTTGCGTGTAGGGGACAGATATGGGGATGTGAGAGGTTATTATCGACCGCTTATCTATTGGGTGGACACGCAGTGGTCACGACAAAGCGGGCGAGCGCCAACAGCCGAGCGGCGATGGGAGGGAGAAGCTCACAAATAGCTCCAATTCCTCGGCGTTGACGCGCCCGTGGAACTGGTGAGACCGGTGCGTTGCGTCGGCTCCCCCGTCACGTGCCCAGCACGCGGTGAACCGCGACCTGCTCCAGCAGGCAGCAGCAGCAGGCAGCAGGCAGCAGCAGACAGCAGTAGCCAGCAGCAGGCAGCAGGCAGCAGCAGCAGCAGGCAGCAGCAGGCAGCAGCAGCAGACAGGCAGCAGCAGCAGACAGGCAGCAGCAGACAGTAACAGACAGCAGCAGACAGCAGCAGCAGCAGACAGGCAGTAGCAGGCAGCAGCAGCAGACAGGCAGCAGACAGGCAACTGGCAGCAGCAGCAGACAGGCAACAGGCAGCAGCAGCAGACAGGCAGCAGCAGCGGTTGCCTCCACAGGACGATGCGGGGGAGAGAGGGGGGGGGGCAGCGGAGACAACGCTCGGGGTTGACTTGCAGAGGCAAATCCCTCCCAGCACCACCACCACCGTCGTGGTCGTCGTCGTCTTTCTCCCCCGCCTCACCATCCACGCACTTACACGTGATAATAATAATCACCTTGCTTCCCTCGGTTCAGCTGTACGAGTAGCCAGCGGTGGGGGGGGGTGTTGGGGGGTTCCGTCGTTGAAGCGATGGAGTTTACAGGCGTCAGATTACCGGAACGGACGCCGGAGGTCACGGTGGTGGACGCAAGAGAGGGCGGTGCGCATCGAGGGTCAAACCGCTGCTGATCTCCGTAGCCACTGGAGGCCAAGCCGATTTTATAAACGTAAAATCATCGTTGCAGCCAGTTCCAGATTCCCTGTCGATCCTGCCGCCGACTTTGTATTTTACCCAGGCAAGAGCCCCACTGAGCTGTGTAGGTGGCTCAACGGAGTGGCGGCTTTATCATCATCATCATCAACCTCGTCGTGTGGACATTTATAGCAGCAGCAAAATTCTCTAAACGCGTGGTGATGTTGATTTTAAATGTACAGCAGGCGTCGGGGTCGGGATCGAACCCACGACCTCCTGCATACCAGGCGAGGTAGTCAACTATCCCAAGGCGCTACCACCACTGCCGTTCGACCAAGACTTTGCCGCATCGGCCGTTGTGGGTTTGGCGAAGGGGGGGAGCGGTCGCAGTAGCCGTTCAGATATCGCTCACCGGCCAACGATGCGTGGGCTGTGCGCCGTGATGCTCCGGGCGCGATGTCATTCCTGAGGATGACCACAGAGGATTCAAGTTCGACGCGACAAATGCAGTTGCGTCGGCGCCCGTAACTTAAAAAATGAAAAGTTCTCATTTTTGGGAAGTGCGGGGAAAATATTTCCATGACGTTGGGGTTTTTTATGTCCATGGACATCGGCGACATAGGATTGAAAACTGAAAATGAAACCAATATTTCGATTTAAAGCTTTCGTGACTGCAATGATTCATCTTCTTTGGTTCTTTCGGTAAAGTCACGTAGAATGAGAATAAAATAATAAATTGATAAAATAAAATAACACAATAATATTCTCACGACGTTTCGGCCACAACACAAGCGGCCTTCATCAGGTGAAGGGGGCGAGACTGTCTGGTAGGACAGCGCTGGACAGTCTCGCCCCCTTCACCTGATGAAGGCCGCTTGTGTTGTGGCCGAAACGTCGTGAGAATATTATTGTGTTATTTTATTTTATCAATTTATTATTTTATTCTCATTCTACGTGACTTTACCGAAAGAACCAAAGAAGATGAAACCAATATTATTCATAATAAACGTTTTTGGGTTAGATCGCGTAAGTATAAATGTGTCGTAACCCTCCGCCACCCGACACAGCCTGTAAGGTTTGTCATGTAAACAACGCGCCACTTAGTTACTACTTCTGCCCACCGCTGTGTTGGAGAGCAAATCCACAACATTTACAATCTGAGTAGTACGACGTTTCGCTGGTAATTACATCCAGCGTCATCGGGCGATTTGCCAGAATCGTGAAGCCATCCACCTGCTTCCGCTCTTACATTGAGCAGCAGCAGCAGCAGGACGACGTCACGGAACCCATCAGGTTTCCGAAATCAGAGGCAGAAGAGGGGAGGGAGGGTTATTGTAATTATATAATAGATTAGTACTTTAATTAGTTTGTGTTTACTCTATAAGGAATTGTAAGATGTCTTCTTCTTCCACGCATTCGTCCAACTCACGTGGGGTGTTCCGCTGTCCTTGCCAACCTTCTCCACGCTGCCCTGTCCTGCGCCATCTCCTCGGGCCACTGTGTCCCATCGCCCACCGCATCGCCCACCGCATCACACCACATCACACCACATCACCCACCACATCGCCCACCACATCACCCACCGCATCACACCACATCGCCCACCACATCGCCCACCACACCACCCACCACATCGCCCACCACATCGCCCACCACATCACCCACCACATCACCCACCACATCGCCCACCACATCACCCACCACATCACCCACCACATCACACCACATCACCCACCCAATCGCCCACCACATCGCCCACCACATCGCCCACCACATCGCCCACCACATCACCCACCACATCACACCACGTCACCCACCACATCACACCACATCGCCCACCACATCGCCCACCACACCACCCACCACATCGCCCACCACATCGCCCACCACATCACCCACCACATCACCCACCACATCGCCCACCACATCACCCACCACATCACCCACCACATCACACCACATCACCCACCCAATCGCCCACCACATCGCCCACCACATCGCCCACCACATCGCCCACCACATCACCCACCACATCACACCACGTCACCCACCACATCACACCACATCGCCCACCACATCACACCACATCGCCCACCACATCACACCACATCGCCCACCACATCGGAGCACATCGCCCACCACATCACCCACCACACCACCCACCACATCACACCACATCGCCCACCACATCACCCACCACATCACACCACATCACCCACCACATCGCCCACCACATCGCCCACCACATCGCCCACCACATCGCCCACCACACCACCCACCACCCACCACATCACCCACCACATCACCCACCACATCACCCACCATATCGCCCACCACATCGCCCACCACATCGCCCACCACATCACCCACCACATCACCCACCACATCGCCCACCACATCGCCCACCACATCGCCCACCACATCGCCCACCACACCACCCACCACACCACCCACCACATCACACCACATCGCCCACCACATCACCCACCACATCACACCACATCACCCACCACATCACCCACCACATCGCCCACCACATCGCCCACCACATCACCCACCACATCACACCACATCACCCACCACATCACCCACCACACCACCCACCACATCACACCACATCGCCCACCACATCGCCCACCGCATCACACCACATCGCCCACCGCATCACACCACATCACACCACATCGCCCACCACATCGCCCACCACATCGCCCACCACATCACCCACCACATCACCCACCACACCACCCACCACATCACCCACCACATCACCCACCACACCACATACCGCATCACACCACATCACACCACATCGCCCACCACATCGCCCACCACATCACCCACCACATCACACCACATCACACCACATCGCCCACCACATCACCCACCACATCACACCACATCACCCACCACATCACCCACCACATCACACCACATCACCCACCACATCACCCACCACACCACATACCGCATCACACCACATCACACCACATCGCCCACCACATCGCCCACCACATTTTCGTCCGCCTTCCTCTCGATCTGCTCATCTTACAATTACTTAATGATACGCTTCCAGGCCGCACTAAGCCTGCAGCTGTCATAGCAGTCCTTCCCCTAGTCCCCACCACCCCCTCCTCCCCCCCCCCCCCCAAATGGGGTCAGTGGGCAGCACTCCATGAAGCAATTGGTGTAGCAAGCCGGCCTGGTGTCGAGTGGTCATGGGAGCGCAGCAGCAGGCCCTCCGAGCGTCGTTAGGCGTGTGTGTGTTGAGCCTGTGTGTGTTGTGTGTGTTGAGTGTGTGTGTGTTGTGTGTGTGTTGAGTGTGTGTGTGTTGTGTGTGTTGAGTGTGTGTGTGTTGAGTATGTGTGTTGAGCGTGTGTATGTGTTGTGTGTGTGTGTTGAGCATGTGTGTGTGCATTGAGTGTGTCAAGCGTGTGTGTGTGTGTTGAGTGTGTGTTGAGCGTGTGTGTATTAAGCGTGTGTATGTGTGTTGAGTGTGTGTGTGTTGAGCGTGTGTGTGTGTGCATTGAGTGTGTCAAGCGTGTGTGTGTTGAGTGTGTGTTGAGCGTGTGTATGTGTGTTGAGTGTGAGTGTGTGTGTTGAGCGTGTGTGTGTGCATTGAGTGTGTGTGTGTGTCACCGTGTATCGTTTAAAAACCCGGCGACCCGAGTTCCATTCCTGCTCGCGGCCAGCACCAGTGACGATTATCCGACCTGGTCCTGGGCCTCCCCGAGGTGAACTCCGCCTCCTGCCGACTGTCTGCGAAGGCTCCCCACGGGGGTAATCTTTGTCTTTGTGCCCTCAGGACCGAAGCTACCCTGGAAGCCCCGTGTCGCCCTTCTCCCCATTCGCCGGAGATAACTACAGCCGGCCGACCCCGAGACGCCCGTAAGTAGTGCACACCCACGTGCACACGCGTGCACACGCGCACACTCACGCATACACTCACGCACACACTCACGCATACACTCAGGCATACACTCACGCATACACTCAGGCATACACTCACGCATACACTCAGGCATACACTCACGCATACACTCACGCATACGCGCACACACGCGCACTTGCACCTCCGATTAGCACGGTTGGCTACGTGCCGTGCGAAATAAGTTCAACATTTACCATTCGAGTACGGTGGCGTTTCGCCAGTAATCACAACAACAACCAGCATCATCATCATCAGGCGGCAGCCACAGAGTTGTGGAGACATCCTAGTCCCGTTTCGGTCTGAAGTAGACGGGGTGAATGTGATGTTGTCACTTGTGAGCCAATCACGTGCACATGTTGTTGTGGGTTCACTCTCCAACACACAACCGGTTAGTGCTGTACTGGTAACGAATTGGCACGTATTGTTTACGTGACAGACATTACTAATTGGCTTTGTCGGGTGGGGGCGGGTTTAACGACAACACGTTTATGTTTATGCCATCTAACCCAAAACACCTCTAGTATGGATATTGGTCGCGAAAGCCCACTTTGTTATGCATACTGTACACATACTTGCACGTACGCGCGCACTGTCTCGCACTCCCAGCCACCACGTTACCCAACAAAGCGCTCGTCTGGCCAGATTGAGGGGACCGCATGGGCATGGCAAGTGGCTCGAAAGGAGATGAAAGAGATCTAGAGCCGAGTGGAATTGCCCGGTGGTCGGTACCGGTGGTGTTGACATCGGCATCTTTTTGTCCCGGAGCCGTTGGCCCAAAGTGGCTTTTTTTGGAAGCACGTGGGGTGACATGTGCTGCAGCACTGATATTCAGATATCATTTTTTTAAATCTCCAAATCACGCATGATAGCAAAGGTGACCTTTTTTTTTTAATGAGAATCTCATGAATTAGGTACCATGGTGTTTGAGAATGTCGTTTTGTATCGGGGAGTGGGTGGGGGAACGAGAGAACGGTTATTGAGAGAATCCGTTCCGCGCACCAAACTCTCTGCCCACGATCTATCCGACTCGGTCGCCTTCAATTATCTCCCCCCCCATCGGTACGCATGACACCCTGTTGCTGGGTTGTCACCGTAAGTCCCCGACACCCTGTTGCTGGGTTGTCACCGCAAGTCCCCGACACCCTGTTGCTGGGTTGTCACCGCAAGTCCCCGACACCCTGTTGCTGGGTTGTGACTGTAAGTCCCCGACACCCTGTTGCTGGGTTGTCACCGCAAGTCCCCGACACCCTGTTGCTGGGTTGTGACTGTAAGTCCCCGACACCCTGTTGCTGGGTTGTCACCGCAAGTCCCCGACACCCTGTTGCTGGGTTGTGACTGTAAGTCCCCGACACCCTGTTGCTGGGTTGTCACCGCAAGTCCCCGACACCCTGTTGCTGGGTTGTCACCGCAAGTCCCCGACACCCTGTTGCTGGGTTGTGACTGTAAGTCCCCGACACCCTGTTGCTGGGTTGTGACTGTAAGTCCCCGACACCCTGTTGCTGGGTTGTCACCGTAAGTCCCCGACACCCTGTTGCTGGGTTGTCACCGCAAGTCCCCGACACCCTGTTGCTGGGTTGTCACCGTAAGTCCCTGACACCCTGTTGCTGGGTTGTCACCGCAAGTCTCCGACACCCTGTTGCTGGGTTGTCACCGTAAGTCCCTGACACCCTGTTGCTGGGTTGTCACCGCAAGTCCCCGACACCCTGTTGCTGGGTTGTGACTGTAAGTCCCCGACACCCTGTTGCTGGGTTGTCACCGCAAGTCCCCGACACCCTGTTGCTGGGTTGTGACTGTAAGTCCCCGACACCCTGTTGCTGGGTTGTCACCGCAAGTCCCCGACACCCTGTTGCTGGGTTGTCACCGTAAGTCCCTGACACCCTGTTGCTGGGTTGTCACCGCAAGTCCCCGACACCCTGTTGCTGGGTTGTCACCGTAAGTCCCCGACACCCTGTTGCTGGGTTGTCACCGCAAGTCCCCGACACCCTGTTGCTGGGTTGTCACCGTAAGTCCCTGACACCCTGTTGCTGGGTTGTGACCGTAAGTCCCCGACACCCTGTTGCTGGGTTGTGACCGTAAGTCCCCGACACCCTGTTGCTGGGTTGTCACCGCAAGTCCGGCCAGGCGGCACGGTGGCTGAGCGAGCGGCTTACGATCGGGGGATGTTCGCGAAGTTCAAATCCTGGTCACGGGCGGACCCGACTCGGCCTGTCGTCTATCTGGGGGTCGATAAAATTGGGGCCACCTCACGGTTGAAGGCTACAGTGGGTTGTTCTACGGACAGACTCGCCCCCGTCATAGGAATAGGGAATTTACACCACTGGCTCAGTGGGACATAAGCACCGCCTCAATGCTCATCCGAGCAGGAAATCACTTTGACCTGTTATGACAAGCGGTTGTGGTGGCGGTGGTGATGGTGGTGGTGGTGGTGTTGGTGGTGGTTGCGGTATGCAGGGTGAGACTGAGCAGCGTGGACCGCGACTCGGAGCTCTACAAACTGCAGGAGGAGAACCGCCGGTCGGGCCAAGTGCCCAAGCAGTCGGGCTTCTTCCACAGGCTGCAGGGCATGCTGGGTAACGTCGCACGATCCCATCACACACAGCAGCACCGCTGGGCATCCCAGCACCTGTTTGTTGGCACGATTGTGCCGTTTTGGAATTTTTGCTGCTGCTGTTAAAAGTGTTTTTCGTTTGACGGGGTGGGAGTCGCCCACACTCCACCCCACCGCACGCGCCCTGTCACTCGACCCGTCACTCGACCCGTCAATCGACTCACCATGCTGTCGCACTGCTGGGTGTACGGAGGTGGCTGGAGTGGCGGGGGGGAGGGTGGCGGGGGTGGGGGGGCTGTGGGGAGCGGTGGTGTAGCGGTTAGCGCTACGCTGAGCTACGAACCTGGCGACTCGAGTTCAATTCCCGCTCACGGCCAACACCGGTGACGATTATTTGAACCGGTCCTGGGCCTTTCCTATGTCGCTTCAACCTCAAATGAATACCTGGTGCGATGTGTAAACATCACCACTGGAGAGACAAAGACGGCCGGGCGTGGTGCTGGCCACCCACCCCCTCGTGTGCCGTGCCGGCCTTCGTAGGTGCTCGCTAACAGCACTTGCCCCAACAGTCTGTTGCAGGCTATATGGGAGATCTTTGTCTTTGGGGGTGAGATTTGAGAAAGCTGAAACTGGAGTGCGCTGACCGTTGCACCACTGCGGTAGGAGGGACGAGTTAATGATCACAGACGCCCGGCGGGGTTGGGCAAGCGGCGAGACGGCGGCCAGCGATAGGAATTAGCATTCTACGTAATCACGAGAGATTTGTCAAGGAGAATATGAGTGACGGGGTGAATATAAGCAGACAGGAAATGTACTCTTTGGTTTTTTCGGTAAAGTCACGTAGATAAACTAAAAAGCTCTAACAGATAGGTGAAAACCCTCCCCGTAGAGGTAATTAATTCTAGATTTGAAGCTTCGTGACTTTACCGAAAAAAACAAAAAGTATGAATCCTTGCAGTCACGAAAGCTTCAAATCTAGACAGGAAATGCTTTAAGTGTTGCACAAATAAAAGTAAAACACTCATTTATAAATAACATTTAGGATTATTGGGCCCTCCACCCATCCTAAAAGTAGAATGGCAACTTTTTGAAGTAGTTTATTTGGTTTGTTTGTGGACCCGGTGCCTACAGAAGTTTATATTTCAATAGAAATTCGACGTCAGATTTCAGACTCAAAATCTAAATGGGGGATTGCCCCACTGACGCAGTCCCTGACAGCTCCACTCGCGTCGCTTTGTGTTACAGACGACAGCTCGGAGGGCAAGGGGAGCGCGGGAGAGGCGGACACACAGAACAGACACACCTGACGCACCAGTACACACAGCACAGACACACCTGACGCACCAGTACACACAGCACAGACACACCTGACGCACCAGTACACACAGCACAGACACACCTGACACACCTGACGCACCAGTACACCCAGCACAGACACACCTGACGCACCAGTACACACAGCACAGACACACCTGACGCACCAGTACACACAGCACAGACACACCTGACGCACCAGTACACACAGCACAGACACACCTGACGCACCAGTACACACAGCACAGACACACCTGACGCACCAGTACACACAGCACAGACACACCTGATGCACCAGTACACACAGCACAGACACACCTGACGCACCAGTACACACAGCACAGACACACCTGACGCACCAGTACACCCAGCACAGACACACTTGACGCACCAGTACACACAGCACAGACACACCTGACGCACCAGTACACCCAGCACAGACACACCTGACGCACCAGTACACACAGCACAGACACACCTGACACACCTGACGCACCAGTACACCCAGCACAGACACACCTGACGCACCAGTACACAGCACAGACACACCTGACACACCTGACGCACCAGTACACACAGCACAGACACACCTGACACACCTGACGCACCAGTACACACAGCACAGACACACCCGACGCACCAGTACACGCAGCACAGACAACGCGATCCTGCGTGCACGCCCATGCAGGGATCAGGACGCCTGTCCATACCCTCGCTGACTCTAGGGGGCAACCCTATCACGCGCACACACACGCACACAGGCACGCACACAGGCACGGATACATACACACAGGCACGCATACATACACACAGGCACACATACATACACACAGGCACGGATACATACACACAGGCACGGATACAGACACAGGCACGCATACATACACACAGGCACGCATACATACACACAGGCACGCATACATACACACAGGCACGGATACAGACACAGGCACGGATACAGACACAGGCACGCATACATACACACAGGGACGCATACATACACACAGGCACGGATACAGACACAGGCACGGATACAGACACAGGCACGCATACATACACGCAGGCACGCATACATACACACAGGCACGCATACATACACACAGGCACGCATACATACACACAGGCACGCATACATACACACAGGCACGCATACATACACACAGGCACGCATACATACACACAGGCACGCATACATACACACAGGCACGGATACAGACACAGGCACGCATACATACACACAGGCACGCATACATACACACAGGCACGCATACATACACACAGGCACGGATACAGACACAGGCACGCATACATACACACAGGCACGGATACAGACACAGGCACGCATACATACACACAGGCACGGATACACACACACAGGCACCCGCGTGTGCACGGATGCACGCTGACGCGGCGGCAATGCGAGGCCACTCGCCGCGTGAGGAGGAGAAGGAGGAGGCGGAGGAGGCGGATGAGGAGCACGAATCCCGTTCGTCCACTCGCGCGTGTAGTCGCGACGCCGGCGATGCAGTCGGCGCGAAGAGAGAGAGCGGGGAGAGAGTGAGAGGGAGCGAGAGAGAGTGGGAGAGGGAGAGATGTTTAACATTTTATCTATAATTCGACTAAAAAAAAAACTAACATAGTAAGGAGATGAGCAATGTACAAAAAGATCTGCACACACAATCAACACGTGACTTTTCCACAAGACAAGTTTTTTTTTCTGAGAGAGGGGGTTTGACTTGCTCTGGAGAGAAGGCAAAACTTTCAGTCGTCAATTGCTTTGTTGCACTTTGCAGCCCAAGTATCTACCGAGGGATGGCCAATTCACAACACGTTTTAAAACGTCATTATCATTCCCCGAACAATGTACTTAAAGATGTTTGTCGTTCCGCTTTTAACTCAAAAAAACCGAAGTACAAGGATAAGCGATTGTGCACCCAGCAGCCCTCCCGTGCACAAAGCTGCGGTTGTGAGAGCACCAAAGCTTATTGCGAATTATTTGGCTCTTTCGGTAAAGTCACGTCGATAGGTTACAAAGCAACTACGAAACGTCAGCGGTTTTTTGTCATTTTTTTTCCTATCTACGTGACTTTACCGAAACACCAAAGAATATGAATTCCTGCAGCCACGAAAGCTTCAAGTCAAGCTTATTGTATGTTGTAGTGACGCTGTATATACGTTGGACTTCTTTCGCACCGTACATAGCCAACCGTGATCATCGTACGCGAAACACATTCCAGGACAAGACTTATAAGCTGTAATGGAAAACGAGCGAATCATGCAGTTGTCATCACGTATGTCCGCTCAAATGGTTCCTGGCAATGTTTATCCACCACAATGTTAAGGAGGACAATTAAGAAAAGTTAATCTGCCGATTGACTTAAAATTACAACACTCAGAAGTTCAAGTGTCTTCTAAGTCAGTAACCCAAATAATTTGCATACAAGCTTTAATTACTCTAAGCTCTAAGATCAACCAACCATTGTACCATAGACTCCGTGACTGAATTTGATTGCAATGAGGCTGCATTTGCCATTCGCCCATTTCTGCAGGAAAACCATCTTGCATGGGGCAATATAATTGAATCTGGCTACAGATTTCATAAGAGTAAACTGCACAAATGGTTGTGTTAATGGCATCAAGACATATACATTTTAAATGCAATCCTGATAACCCCTAAAGCCAGTGCATGCCACATGTCATGTAGGGAAACCAAACCATCAAAGATATCACAACAATATTAAACTTCCTGTTTGTATAAATATGATTTGACAGACATTCAGCTCCATGCTTCTTAGAACTGCTGTGTAACACGTAGATACATATTGGCACTGATTGTATTTTATTATGCGGATTGTCAATAGTTGTGAGTGAATGCATTCGTATGCAGTGCATTCAAACGTGATCATAGGCTGCAGGAATTATAATGGGTTCAGCCCTCGTTTTTAATGACTAAAAAGTCACACGCCTGTTGGTCCAAATATTTTTAATGCGATAGGAAATTGTTCGGGACGTTAACAGCAGAAGCAAAATTACGCTAAGGTGAGCGTTCTAAAGGAGGGAACATTATTGAATTGCGATATCGCCAAGACAGTTGTGATGCATGCAGACCCTGTGTGTGTGTGTGGCATGTACTGTCAGTCGACATCGCAGATGCCCTCCAGGACATTAAGAATGTTTCTGCGCACTTAGTCGCTTGATCCACCTCAAGTCGATCCTCCTCCAGGTCCTTGCTCATCACCGGACCGAGTCGCTGCTCGGGCCGCCGCTGCCATCTGCCCCCCCCCCCCCGTGTGAGAGAGACGACGACGAATGTGAGACGCGAGGGTGTATCGTGTGAATGCCGGGTAACGTGAGCGCGCGGTGGTCACGTGAGATGACAGCCCTTTATAAAATACCTGACGTGCAAATGTCGCTTCGTTAGCCAGTACGAGTAAAGGAATGAGGAGAATTTGAAGGTCACATTTCGGTAAAAGTTGTATGTTCCCCCCTCTCCGTCATCTTGCGGCGGCGTCGTAGGTCGCCAAGTCCAACCGCGATCACTAAAGTAACCACCACAGTGCGGCAGTCGTGTTACTCCGTGCGCTTAGTGACCGTAGCATTGTGATGTTATTATGATGGTGTGGCGTCTATGTATTGTTGCACGCTGCGTGTGGTGTCTTATCCGTGCGCGTGACACAACACGTGACGCATCGCACGTGACGCGTCACGTGTGATGTGTGGCACATCGCGCGTCACGTGTCACATCACGTGATGCATCGCGCGCGACGCATGACATCACATCGCGCGTGACGCGTCGCGCCTCGTGCGTTGCGTTGTGCGATGTCGGAGCGCTCGTCACGGACCCCTGTACACCCCTCCCCTCCGTCCCCCCCCCCAACGATGACGCTCACACACAGATACACACACAGACACACACAGATACACACACACAGACACACAGATACACAGACACAGATACACACAGACACAGATACACAGACACACACAGATACACAGACACACACAGATACACAGACACACAGATACACACACAGACACACAGATACACACACAGATACACAGACACACAGATACACACACACAGATACACACACACATGGACAGGAGCAGGTCGACAGCCGGCTGGCAATAGGCTGGGGCCCAGCATAACAACGGCACACGGAGTAGACGGAGAGAAGGGACAACGAGAAATCTGAGAGGCCGCGTCGGACTGTTGCCACCTGTCCGGTCAAGACCCTGCCAGTAGTCGGGGAATTGGCTCTTGTCGTGTTTGGGTCGCAGCAGGAATTGATTTGTCCTGATATCTGGCACCGGTGTTTGTGGCGGTTGTTCTGTTGACCTTGTATCACAGTCTATCACGCACAGCTGACTAAGATCATGTCGGGCTGTGGTCTGCGGAGGTGGTGGCCACCCCACACAAATCTGGACCGCTGTGAATGTCGAAACCAGATCTGCTGACAAGACACTGAATTCCGAGACCATTGCGGCGTCTGCGTGTGTTGAACCAGTGCCGATAACATCACGTACTCCGCTGGGAAGATCATCGTGGGCTTATGGGATGTGTTAAAAAACAAAAACACTTTTATTATTTACGTTTAGAGACGGATATATGGCAAGGGGTATTTCCCGCTTGCCTTGTTTGCAACTGGGCCCTGTTGAGGCTGCGGCAGGGCATTAGCGAGGCCAACACGTGCGGGGTTGTCAACGCATTTTATTTATAGATCTGTTTTATATATACAAGTGGAGACCTGTGAACAGGTCGCACCCACCCCCTGCGAGGCACTGCAACTGCACACCTGAGCGGGGACTCCTGACCACCTGTCCCCAGAGACTGCCCGCTTCCTCCCCAAAGAGCTCCCTCGAGTTGACCGGGGTCACCCAGGTCACCGGGGGGGGGGGGGTAATGTACGGCGTTGTATGGAGCCGCGAGGGCTGGGAGACACTGGATGGGGTCGATTTAATGTTGTTTGATCGGGTGACAACTTACCTCCAGAGAGCGGGATGGTCCGACT